CTCCTTCTGCCTGGGGTTGCACCCTTGATACTTAGTGATGGCCCCAGGAGGGAAGGAGCAGCAGGAAGCAGAGATTCCCTCCATCTGTGCAGAATCCAGACACGAGTTCACTGCAGAGGCTGCTGTAATTATATTGGCTCCGGGGGTCACACTCTGTCCTTCTTCTGAGGAGGTGTGCTAGTCAGAATGCAGGTGCATATACATATATGATGATACTTCAAAAAGTTAACAGAAAAATACAATTAAAAGGTAATAGGAATCTTTCCCTGAACTTTTTGAAGAGTTCAGTCTGTGTGTGTGTGTGTGTGTGTGTGTGTGTGTGTGTGTGTGTGCACGTGCATGTGTACAGAGAGAGAGATAGAAGATGGGATTGTTTTTGAGAATTTGTCCACATGATTATGGGGGCTGGGAAGTCCCACGCCATGCTGACAACCAGAGAAGCTGGTGATGTGTCTCATTGTGAGTCGAAAAGACTGAGAACCTGGGGCTGCTGATATAAGTCCTGGAGTCCAGATGCTCCAGAACCTGGAGTTCTGATGTCTGAGAGTAGTAGGAGATGGATGTCCCAGCTCCAGAAGAGGGAGAAAATTCTCTTTCTCTGCCTTTTTTTTCTACCTGGGTCCTCAAGGAATTGGATGATGCCCAACTCCACTGGGCAGGGTGGATCTTCCTGACCCAGTCTACGGATTCAAATGCTGCACTCTGCTGCAAACACCCCCACAGACACAGACAGAAATACTGTTTCACAGTCACCTGTGCATCCCATAGCCCAGTCAAGTTGTCACCTACAATGAACCATCACAGGAGGTGACCATCTTGTCTTGCTTGCAGGTCACCCCCACAGAGCAGGGCTTGAGGGACTTGACTCAGCTGGTTTCCACATACCCTCAGGGGTTTATGGGCTGGATGGGCCCCATATTCCCCATCATCAGTTTGTGCCACCCTGACATCATCCGGTCTGTCATCAATGCCTCAGGTACCCATTGGAGCTTGTGGTGGTGGGTGCCGTGGCTCACCCGATGGCTTCCACCTCCAAGATTCTGTGCAGTCCCTGCAGGACCCTGGTCCCTCCTTCCCTCTCCTCTCTCAGCCATCTTCCTCTTTCTTGCATGTGTTCTCCAGTCCCCATCTCAGGGTCTCATCCCTCTATCTCCCTCTGCCTCCCTGCCCTGGTGTTCTGGGTACCTCTGAGGTAGCAAAACACCTCATGCTAAGAACCTGCACAGGAGAAAAGCTGATATTGAGGATATGAACCTGGACAGACATCCCCAATGTCGTGTGGTCAGAAATGGGTCAGAGTAAGATGGACTGCAACAGCTAAGAGCAGAAACAGTGTTTCTGATGGGGCAGGCTGGAAGGCTTCCTGGAGGAGAGGTTCCTGGAGCTGGGTTGGAAGCATAAGTAGAAATTTTCAAAGCAGAGGGCAGGGGATGCAGGGACATTGGAAGCATTTGAGGTCCCCCACCATGCCTGGCATCAGCCTTGTGCATTCCCAGACCCTGAACAATGAGGAGGGCTTGGAGCTGGTGGGTGATCTGGTCTGCTCGTTCCACGATGTCCACCTCTGGTGGGTCGGGTCCTTTAACCCCATTCTTTGGCTTGTCCACTGTATGTTCATTGCCCACATGCTCCAGGCCCCAGAATCTTCAATAGAAGACCACAACCCAGCCTCGTGCCCTTACTCTCACCTCTTCCACTTCCCATCCTTGGACAAGCCAGGGGAAGGAACAATGTCCCAAAGAGATCATGGCTTTTACACCAAACTGATGGATGACTCTGGGCAGGTCCCTAGCTCTCTCTGGCTGCTGAGGTCCCCTTCAGTTGTAAGAGGTAGAAGATCAATCACATGAGGTCTAAGCAAACCAAAGACATATATTGATTGTGGCCTTCAGGCACAGTTGGATCCAGGTCCCAAACAGTGTCATTAGGAACCTATATCTTCCCCTTTTGACTTTTCTCTATATTGTTTTTCCTCCAAGAAAGCCGTTTCCTCATGTTATCTAATGATGATTTCCAAAAGTTCAGTTCCCATAGGAAAGCTCACCTTTCCCCCAGAGTTCTCATTAATGTCCTATAATTCAGTTGAATTATCTTAGCCTGGGTCAAAGGACCGATTCCTCATCCAATCTCAGTGACTCTGATTGCTCAGTCTTGACAAACATGGATATTCTAGAGCTATAATGTTAAGGAAACCAAACTAGTCAATGGTTAGGGACTGAGGCTCTACCTTCAGACAGACCTGAGTTCGTATCTCAGGCATGCCACTTACTATCTGACAGACCATGGGTATCTCATTGTTCAGAGCCTCAGTTTCTTTATCTGAAAAATCGATGAAGGAGAACCTATGTGAATGTGGTGGATCTAAATGGACAAAGACCTTTCTGTCCTTTCCTGAGGGACCTGAACAGTCATGTGTCGAGGACATGCAGGGAGAGCCCAGGAGGAGGCTCAACACGGGGCCTAGATCTGGGTCTCAGCCCTGCAGGTCCTTCTCTCTGCCATCCTAGAAGAGCATGAATTGGGACCTCTTTGCTCTTATCCAGATTTGGAGCTGGGAAGAGGGTCTACTGTACACACAGGGCCTGGTGATACAGGGCCTGGTAAGCACCTTTGAGGTGTGTACTGCCGGTGTGTGGGGCCCTGGCATGCATTCATCCACAATTTCGACCCCACCTACATCAAGCCCATGTTCTTTGCTCCAGGTAGACACTGCACTGCCACAGGATGCCCACACCTGAAGTCTCTGGGCTGTGTCCAGGTGGTCGGGTGACCCGAGTGCTGATGTGGGGGCTGTGGTGGAGATGTCACAATCTCTGCCTCACCTGGTCTCCCACCTGTCTGACCTCTGCTTATCTCTACCAATGTCCGAATGTGTCCATGTGACACCTGCTGTGTGGCCACATCTTGTCACATTTGTATCTACACCTGTGTCTTCATTACACCTGCCACATGTTACACCTGGTTACACCTGGGTTCCTCCTGGGATCACATGGAGATGGCCAAGTGTGGGGCATGCTGAGGCCAAGGGCATTTGGGCTTGTCAGGGTCTGTCTGGTTCTCGTCTGAGGTGCTGTTTGAGCTCAGCTCGTTCTGCAACTTTTCTCCTCTGGGCCGTGTTTGGGCTTATCTGAGATCTGAGACTCAGAATTCCTTTGTGAGTTGTCTGGGACATTACTTGAGTCTTTCTGAGGCAGGTCTTAAGGTATGTTTTGGTCACATCTAAGGCCCAGTCTAAATCACACCTGACCCACATCTGAAACCTTGAATTGTTCATATTTTAATCTCACATGGAGCCCATGTGTGGGCAGGTTGAGGTCATGTCACACCATCTTGGGTTCATGTCAGAGCATGTTGTGTCATTACAGGGCTTGTCACAAATGCTGTAGCCATATCAGGACATGTTAACATGTGTTTGTCCATATCACATGTCCCAGGTCCATGTCAGGTGGTGTCAGAGTACTGAGGCAGGCAGAGTGTCCTAGGTCCCTGTAAAGGCATTTTGTAGACTCCTGTGCTGTACTTGGGTACTGTTGAATGTGGTGAACCATGTTGGAGCCATGTCAAGACATGGTCAGGTATGTCACACCATGTCAGGGTGCTCCTGTTCTCTACTCTGCTGCTGCAGCCTGGTCTGATTCCCCCTAATCCCCACCCTCCTCCCTGCTTGCTCTGCCCTCGGTCCCCTCCCTGCTATGCTGAGCTTGGAGGGGGATTGTGCAAATCCCTGGCTGGGAGCCTCCACCCAACAACCAATGTTCCTCCCCTCCGCCTCTCCATGGCCCCTGATCGTCCTCTTTCATGTCAGCTGCCATCGCACCCAAGGATATGACTTTGTACGGGTTCCTGAAACCGTGGCTTGGTGAGTAACTGCATGTGAAGGGGTTTGGGGACAACCTTGGGGGACCAGGGGAAGGTGATGCCTTTGCTCACTGCCCATTGCTGCCCCACTAGGGGATGGGCTGCTGCTGAGTGCTGGTGACAAGTGGAGCCGCCACCGCCGCCTGCTGACACCCGCCTTCCACTTCAACATCCTGAAGCCCTATGTGAAGATTTTCAACCACAGTGTGAATGTCATGCACGTGAGTCACATGAACCCAAGGTCCCAGCTGGATCCTTGGGAAGGGAGAGAAGCCTCAGATGGGTTAGTCTGGAATTATGGCTCTGCTGAGTGACTTTGGGGTCATTTTCCTTCCTTTCCAAGCCTTGATTTCTCATCTGAAAAATGGGGATAATAATCCCGACTTAAAGAGCAGTCAAGACACTGTAATGTATTCATGTCCAGGGCACATAGCAGGTGCACAGAAGCTGTCAGTGTCTAGCTTTGCTCCTCCAAAACCCTGGCATCTTGAAACCCTGCTGATAATAATGATGAAGATTGCATAGTAGCTATTACTGAGTAACAAACCACTTCATAACTCACTGGTTTAAAGTGAAAAGGGTTTATTATTGTCGACACGTCCATGGGGTCAGTGGCTGGTTCTTCTGGTCCTGGATGGGGTCACTCATNAGACTCCTGTGCTGTACTTGGGTACTGTTGAATGTGGTGAACCATGTTGGAGCCATGTCAAGACATGGTCAGGTATGTCACACCATGTCAGGGTGCTCCTGTTCTCTACTCTGCTGCTGCAGCCTGGTCTGATTCCCCCTAATCCCCACCCTCCTCCCTGCTTGCTCTGCCCTCGGTCCCCTCCCTGCTATGCTGAGCTTGGAGGGGGATTGTGCAAATCCCTGGCTGGGAGCCTCCACCCAACAACCAAAGTCCCTCCCCTCCCCCTCTCCATGGCCCCTGATGGTCCTCTTTCATGTCAGCTGCCATTGTACCCAAGGATATGACTTTCTACGGGTTCCTGAAACCGTGGCTTGGTGAGTAACTGCATGTGAAGGGGTTTGGGGACAACCTTGAGGACCATGGGAAGGTGATGCCTTTGCTCACTGCCCATTGCTGCCCCACTAGGGGATGGGCTGCTGCTGAGTGCTGGTGACAAGTGGAGCCGCCACCGCCGCCTGCTGACACCCGCCTTCCACTTCAACATCCTGA